GAGTTCAAGACAAGCCTAAGCAAAAGTGAGACCCCATGCCTACCAAAAATAGAAAAACTAGCTGGGTATGGTGGCACACACCTATAGTCTCAAGTTCTTGGGAGGCTGAGGCAAGGGGATAACCTGAACCCAAGCATTTGAGGTTGCTATAAGCTATGATGCCATGGCACTCTATCCAGGGCAACAGAGTGTCTTAAAAAAAAAAAAAAGAAAGAAAACAATAACAGGGTTGATGACAATGCAGAGAAAAGGGAATTATTATACATTGCTGGTTGGGAATATAAATGAAAAAATTATGAATGAGCAAATTGTAACAATAAAAAGAGCACTTTACTTTGGCCATTTCTTGTTCCAGCAGCAACCTCCAGTTGACCTTCTGCTGGTAGGTCAAAAGGTCCTACTTTTGGGTAACTGGATATTTACCGAAAAGCAACTACGGTTAAACCTCTCTGGCAACTTACATTATGTTGATTTAAAATAAGAGTAAAAGAAAGAAGATACGATATACCTACTTAGGTATATCAAAGAGATACCTGTAACCCTGTATTTATTGCAACACTATTCACAATAGTAAAGATATGGGATCAACCTATGTGTCCAGTAACAGATAAACGCATAAAGAAATGGTGGTACACAGACACAAAGGAATATTATTTAGTCAGAAAAAAGAATGAAATTATTTGTAGCAACATGGAACTGGAAGACATTATGTTAAGTGAAATAAGCCAGGCATAGAAAGTTATACACAGCATGTTCTCACTCATATGTGGGAACTAAAAGAACAGATCTCATGGACATAGAGAACAGGAATAACAGAACGGTAGGTACCAGAGATGGGGGAAGGGGATGTGTGTTAGGGAGGGGTGGGAGTTCACAGGTTGGTTAATGAGCACAAACATACAGACAAAAGGAATAAGATCTAATGCTGGATAGCAGAGTAAAGCAGCTATGGCGTATTTCAAAATAGCTAGAAAAGACTAAGCATAGTGGCTCATGCCTGTAATCCCAGTACTTTGGGAGGCCAATGCAGAAGGACGGCTTGAAGCCAGGAACATGAGATCAGTTTAACAAACACAGCAAGACCTTATCTCTAAAAAAAAAAAAAAAAAAAAAAAGAAAGAAAAAAATTAGGCAGGTATGGTGGTACACACCTACGGTCCCAGCTGCCTTGGAGCATGAGATAGGAATCTCACTTGAGCCCCAGAGTTTGAGGTTGCAGTAACTATGGTTATGCCACTGTAGACAACCCGAATAACCTTCACAAAAGAGCAAGACACTGACTCTAGCCCCCTCAAAAAAGCTAGAAGAGAGGACTTGAAATGTTCCTATACATATCCTGTGCATGTAACAACATATACCCCACAAATACGTGCAATTATTCATCAATAAAAAATATACAAATAAAAATTATATCTAAAAAATGTCAATGACTATGGAATAGATGAAAGAATACAAATTTGACTTGTAGGGTTTTGGTATTATTGGCTTTGTGTGACTTAAAATTTACTGCTACACTGTTTTTTTTTTTTTTTGAGACAGAGTCTCACTTTGTTACCTTCGGTAGACTGCAGGTGGGATCACAGCTCACGGCAACCTCAAACTCTTGAGCTCCAGCAATTCTCTTCCCTCAGCCTCCTGGGTAGCTGGAGTGCAGGTGCTGGCCAAAATATCTGGACATTTCTGGAGATGAGGTCTTGTTCAGGCTGGTCTTAAACTCGTGAACTCCAGCAATCCACCTGCCTTGGCCTCTCAGAGTGCTAAGATTACATAAAATGGGCTGGGTACCCGTAGTTCAGTGGTTAGGGTACCGTCCACATGCTCCAGGGCTGCTGGTTTGAACCCAGCCCAGGGATGCTAAACAAAACAAACAAACAAAAAAGTTGGGTGTTGTGGCAGGTGCCTGTAGTCCCAGCTACTTAGGGAGGCTGAGGCGAGAGAATCGCTGGAGCCCAAGTTTGAGGTTGCTGTGAGCTATAATGCCACAGCACTCTACCGAGGGTGATGAAGTGAGACTCTGTCTCAATAAGAAAAAAATAAATTACATAAAATGTTATATTATTAGTAAGTAATCCTTGCTGAATTCTGTTAAAGAGTAAGGATACACCATAAAATCAATTTGCTAATTTAACCTGTTAGCTACAATATACTTAGCTATCACTTGGTTCTTCTGAAGGACGGGGGAAGGAGGTAAGGGGAAAGGGAGAAGAATAAAGACGGTCACTACATTTGCAACTTCTCTTAAGTTGTTGGTCCCAGAATCAAACTACCATCTGCAAGGTGTACAAAGTTAGAAGAGAAAACAGATTCTGCTGTGGTTCAAATTACTAACGGAAGGAAGAGATGGGGGCAAATTGTAACAACAAAAAGAGCAATTTACTTTGGCCATTTCTTGTTCCAGCTGCAACCTCCGGTTGACCTTCTGCTGGTAGGTTTTTATGACGTTTTCCACATGCTGCTCCATGAAGAACTTAAAGGCATATGGCGAATAGCTCTTGATGCGGGATTCTCTCTTCTCTTCGTCTCTGCTGTTTTTGCGCACAGGGACAGGAGACGTCTGGATCTGCTTTTTATCTTTCCCACCTTTGTCCCCCTTGGCGCTCTTGTGGCTCTTGTCACTCCTGTCACCAGGCTCTGCTGCCCGGCCCCCACGAAGGCTCTGCTCCACACCTACACATAGGCTGTCCAGGTCGTACTGCTCCGACTTGCTGCGCAGCAGCAGGTGCTTTGGGTAGGGCGGCGGGGGGCATCTGAGGTCCGGACGGCCGTACTCCACGTCCAGAGGGTAGGTGCCCGCACTGCCCAGGGCCAGAGGGTGCTCGTCCTTGGAGTCCAGGGCCTCTGCGGCCGGAGCAGGCACCCAGGCAGGGTGTGAGGGCCCCACAGCTGTCTGTGGCTCAGGCCTGAGCACGCGCACGCTCTTTACGGGGTGCAGGATGTGCGCGGCCGTGACTGCTGTGACGGTGTTAGGGGCCGGGAGGGAGGGCTCAGCCTTGCTGGGTGGGCCGGCCCGCGGCTGGTGGCTATTGAAAGAGTTGGTTCTGCTGGGTACTGGGCCATCGGGGCGGAAGGCTACGTGCTGTCGCGGTGGCACCTCCAGGCCTGGCTTCTGCAGGGAGTCGCGGCGGGCCACAGTAGCGGCCGGCCACTGCTGGACTGGGGTGCTGCCCAGCTCATATAGGTCTGAGTTGAGGCTGTTCCGGGATGGGGCAAGCAGACTCTGTGGGGGGCTGTCCCCGGAGAACACTGGGCGGGAGCCCACTGCATGCAGCTGGTGGGCGGCGGGGCCTGCCTGCTTGTGGTGCGGATGTGGAACGTAGACAGGGGCTGGGAAGGCGAGGCCGGTGCTTGCTGGGCCCTGGCCCTTGGTGGGCAGGCTGGCATAGGCCCCCGGCTCGGTTGGCGCTTGACTCTGGAAGGAGGGGCTGCGCTGCAGGCCATAGCCCAGGGGCTCTGCCGGCACCAGTAGGTGAGGACGGCCGTAGTGTGCCTGCAGCGGGAAGTGTGCTGCCTCCACGCTGGCGCCGTAGCCCTTGGGCTGGAGCTGGTGACCTGGCACACCGTGAGGCCCGGCTCCAGAGAAGAGGAAGTCCATGTACTGCCGTGGCACCTCCTCCAGGGCTGTGGGGCCATCAGGGCTGAAGCTGGGCCCTTCGTAGGCCGCGCCACTCAGCTGGTGGTAGGATGCAAAGGAATCACGGGTTCCTTCAAAGCTGGGCCTCCGTGTCACAGGGGCTGGCACCAGGCCCTTTCCTGCAGAGGAAAGAACGAGAAAATGGCATCAAAGGGGAGATAATCAGTCTTCTAACACTATGCTGGGGCTGAGTGGCTGTGCAGGGTCTTTAACAAGGGAGGATCCTGACAGGCTGATCTCCACCTAGGGCAGTGTCAGTAGGGTACCCTTTGCCCTGTCGGCAGGGACCAAGCACCATAATGTGGCAAGAGAGGGAGGATGGGAGGCCAAGGGGCACAGTGGAGGGTCAAGGGCAATAAAGAAGACAGTGTACCACGCCTTCTGGGGTGCCTCCCCCACTACTCTGAGGACACAGCGCCTGGGTCCACTCTCCTGTCCAGCTAGGAACCATCTGGACAGCCAGCTTTGCTTTCTCCACATCTGGGCTGGCTGAGTTTACCATGACATGATTCCCAAAGTCTGCTTCTCCCTAACACAAAGGGAGGAATTGTATCCATTGTTGTGCAGCAGCTGGTCCACTTTTCTTTCACTTATTTTCTGAATTGAAGATTTTCTGGGATTTATGTCTTTCTTAAAACAAAACAACATAAGTCTCATCTTGTTGGGAAGCTGAGGCAAGAGAATCACTTAAGCCCAAGAGTTTGAGGTTGCTGTGAACTATGATGCCATGGCACTCTACAGAGGGCAACATAGTAAGACTCTGTCTCAAAAAAAAAAACAAAACATACACATATACACAATAAAAACCACACAAAACCTCTCAACAAATACCCAGATTGATTACAGCTGCTCCTTCCTTAATCCTAACTTTTCCATTTTGAAAATCTAAAATAGATGGCTGGTAGGGCAGACAAAGGTTCCTTTCATGTCCTTTACGCCAACCGCCTGGCTCTGCTTGACTTGGCAGAGGATGCTGCAGAGTCAAAGGGCTGTGTCTTGCCCATGGGGAGACCCCCTCCCTTTGGAATCTCTGGCAGAGAGAACACCCTGACAGCCATCACAGCCAGCAGAAGTCACAGCCAAACAGCTGCTTTGTTTTGCCTGGGCTAAGAAGTGCACCAGTGAGTACACCACACCAAAGGCAAATGCAGAAAGAAATCCACACACGGGCCTGTGTTTTCCTTTGGAGCCATGTTCTAAAACAGACTCCAGAACTCTAAGAATCATGATATGGATGGCCAAGAAGTTCCTTTCCTCAAGAAGAAACTAGAAATGTATGCCCTCTTAACAACGTAGATCTAACTTACTAAGCCTGTGAGATTTTCTTTTTTTCTTTTTTTTTTTTTAACAGATAACAAGATGGATTTTATTTGAAATTAAGAAATATTTCCAATTTTTATTCAAAAAATTTTTAATCAAAATTGCAAGAGTAGTTTATATAGCCACAGGTCAATAACAAAACAGGAAGGAAATGGAATATTCCAGGTACATTTTTGAAAAGTTCCAAACACACACAAAGCTAAAAACTACAGTTAAACCATGGCTGCACGAAAGATTATATTCATTCCTGCATTTTCTCAATAAGTTCTTCCTTGTATTTGCCTTTCTCTTTTCCAACTTGTCGAGACTTGGCTTTGCGTTCAAGAATTTTTTTCTGATCTTTGTCCAGTTTTAGCCTGGTGATAACCACCTTGCTTGGGTGAATGCCCACGTGAACAGTTGTGCCGTTAGCCTTCTCACGCTGCACCCACTCAATGTAGATGACGTATTTCTTTCTGTATACCTGGACTACCTTGCCAATTTGCTGACCTTTATAGTGTCCTCGAACCACCTGGGCTTCATCGTCCTTGTGGATGGGCATGGAGCGCACGTTGTACTTCTGCCGAAGCTCCTTGGATAGCGGAGACGACATGATCTTTCTGCGTACGTGCGAGGGGGCATTAAAATGTCGTTTGCGGTTTTTGCTGCGGTCTGAGGTCACAAAGGGATTGAACTTCATGGTGAACGTCTGGAGTCCAACGTATTCAGACACGAAGCACACAAGACCGGAAGTCGAGATTTTCTTATTCACCACATGAAGTGGGTTTTATCCAAGGCAGACCACAAAATGAGGAAAAAGCCTTCTGCTAATCGTTATGAATCATTTATTTAACCCCAGAGACCTTAGGTGCCAAAAAAGTGGCCCATCTGTTCCATTCTCAGAAAGGAATATTCCCCAACAGCCAACAATGGAGGGCCCTGGCCGGCCTGGCACTGGGCCACTGCTCTCAGAAGCTATGACATAAGAAAAGGTATGCTTTTAAAATTGATGAAATAAACCTTCACAAGCCCAAGGGAAAACAAAAAGATCATTTTTACTCTGATTTTGCTGACTTTTTGCATCTTTAATAAAACAAAACAAGCACACAAAACTTCCTAGGTTAAGAATTACCACAGGTGCCCAGGTGAGTCCCATGGTCTCCAGCCTAGCGTACCCTTCCAGAACCTACCTCCCCCATCACCTGAGTGAGGCGCTGTGCCACGAGACTGTCTATGGAGAAGGCTACGCTGGACCTCTCTGCACATGGTTTTGTGTTCTTCACCCACCATGCTGCTGGTCCAGGCTTACCTGGGGAGGTCTGCTTAATGACACGCACGATCTGCTCATTCCTCGGGTCCAGGTAGCCCATCTTGCTGATGTACTCCAGGGCAGCCTCAATACTCCTGCTGCCGGTTTGCTTGAGTGCTCTGCCAGCCATCTCCTGGGAGGGAAGCACAGGAGAGGTAAGTATGTGTTGCTGTAAGACAAAGTCATCATGACTTCTGTTCCCACTGTGCCCTACTGTGCTGTGACACCTTGCTAGGCCCTGCAGTGAGCTGCAGGTGATTTTCAGAGTGGGCACAGGTGGCTGTATGTCTTGCAGGTGCCTGTTGACAAAAGCCTAGCACATACCACAGCACAGACTAGCCTATGTCAGAAGCGTATGAGAATTCTCATGGCAGACTTGAAAGAAACTTAAGTTCTGCTTCTCCTTAGAAAACTTTCGTGGTTGTACTGGTAAGTCTAGGACACAGCTAAAACCAGAAATGCATGTGGGAAGAACCTTGGGAATCAGGAGACCTGGCTCTTACCCCGCTGACTCCGAGGTGAACTCTGGAACCAGGCAAGCTGCCCCTAAATAAAGGGAGTATGTGGCTGCCCAAGAGGCATTTATTACATGCTTACTATTTCAAATGCCCTGTGTCAAGGCCGGGGGTGGTGGCTCACGCCTGTAATCCCAGCACTCTGGGAGGCCGAGGTGGGTGGAATGGCTGAGCTCACAGGTTTGAGACCAGCCTGAGCAAGCCAGAGCTAGCCCTCATCTGAGGAGCAAGACACTTACTTTCCTATCTCAAAGAATGTTTGGAGATCATGGTCTGAGAGTCCTGACCTAGCACTGTAGGTGGCCACTGCACAAAATGGCAGGACAGCACAGTGGCACAGAGGCTGGACGGGGAGGCCAGATGCCTGCATTCACACTTCCCTTTTGCTCCTAAGCAGCTGTGTAACCCTCAGCAAATTATTTACCTACTTGGAGCATTGCTCCTTCACATGTGAGGTGAGGCTAATAGGGTTGCTCCAGGGATTGCAGGAGATAACAGCACATTTCTGCATCATTTAAGAATTCACTGTTACAATTCAAAAAAGTATCTTAAGCAACTCTAATAAAAAATGTAAACACCATATTTGTGGATTTTATGCAGGCTCAATATTTAATATGTCTAATGTTGTACTGTGTATTCATCTTACCATAATCATATAAAGAAATATAATGAGTTCTTTCCACCAAGCCTCCAGACACCTTTGATCTCTTCTAGTTTACCTCAGGCTGCTGTATAAATATCATTGCCTATTTGTGCCAAGATGTGGGAAAGGCTGGCAGCCCTGCCCTAAAGCAGGGACACACGCAGCCAGAAGCTGAAGGGGACAAGAGGCAGATAGGTGTTCTAATGCCTAACGTGCAGAAAGTGCCTGGCGGGCATCTTGCAGTGAATGCGTGAGAGTATAACTGAATTAGACTCTGTCCTGGAGCAGATAAAAGGAGGGAAGAGAGACAAGCAGGAAGTGAGATGAAAGATACTGCCAGTGCCACTGGGGAGGCTGCCCCTGGTGTTGGAAGCTGGGGATAAAGCACACTCCAGATTCCTGACATGCACCCAGGCACAGGCCAAAGGAAATTTAAAACAATAATTAAAAACAGGGGCCTGGCACAGTGGCTCACATCTGTAATCCCAGCACTTGGGAGTCCAAGGCGGGCAGATTGCATGAGCTCACAGGTTTGAGACCAGCCTGAGCAAGAGTGAGATCTTGTCTCTAAAAAATAGCCGGGCGTTGTGGCAGGCACCTGTAGTCCCAGTTTCTCGGGAGGCTGAGGCTAGAGGATAGCTTAAACCCAAGAGTTTGAGGGTGCTGTGAGCTGTGATGCCAGAGCACTCGACCAAGGGCAACAAAGTGAGACTCTGACTCAAAAACAACAACAAAACAAGAACAGCAGTAATAGTAACTTCCAAGTATTACTCTATTACCCAATTTGCACACCGGGGCTATTCTTTAGGACAGTGTCTTCTACAGATGCCCAAATGTGTGTCATGTTACCACTTACTAATTATCAATAGATTAATAATTGTGGGTTGACAAGACTTTGTTGGCTTTATGTCATCTAGCCACATGCATCAAGAAAATCCTATATGTAAATTATTCTTCTAAAACACTCCAGAAGGCTTAGGATAATTTAATCTCTCATATGAAAGTGATACAGTCCACTGAACCTGGTACCATATCCAAAGTCAACCTTCTCTTCTAGGAGTTATCAGTGTTAAGAGTTTTGAAGCCATCATATGAGGTGCCAGATTTGTCACAAGACACCTTCAGCCTTCAAGCCTGCTTCATTAGTGACCACAGATGACTCAACATGTGCAAACCCAATTCTTGACTTCACTTCATCTGGTCTCCTAGTCTTCCCAACCTTGGAAGTATACTGACTTTGAGATCTCTTTCATACCTCATGTCTAATCCAAAGGCGCTACTTTGTTAGTTCTCCCTATAGACGAGTGGTAGAAGACTCTGAATGCTTTGAAAGCAGAACTGACACTATTCCTCACATTCCACATCTGATCCAGCAATACTTAACATGGCATAAACTCCATGCCTCACAATTTGGGAAGCCACAGTAGTTACCAAATAAGAATGATGGGCTTGCATCTGCAGGCCCTACCTACTACCCAGTGGGCTATTCTTGCAGATTTGAAAAATTCATTAGACTTACTGCAGAATAGGAGCTGGTATCACAAAGGGTAAGTCTAGGGCCTGGCAGCCTTCTCTTTTGGGGAGTGGCCTCATGCACAGCAGTCACTCTCAGCTTGGGTGGTGACCTTGGCTCAGATAGAGGAATTATTCCCACTCCTTTACAACAGAGTTCCTCAAGAGGTTTTGTGTCTGACGGAGACGGGGGGATTGAGAAGGAAGGACAAGACAAACTTTAGATCTTGGCCGGGCACAGTGGCTCACACTCATAATTCTAGCACTCTGGGCAGCTGAGGTGGGTGGATTCCTTGAGCTCAGGAGTTTGAGACCAGCCTGAGCAAGAGCCAGACCCCATCTCTGCTAAAAATAGAAAACTTAGCCAGGCATTGTGGCAGGTACCTGTAGTCCCAGCTACTCAGGAGGCTGAGGCAAAAAGATCACTTGAACCCAAGAGACTGGGGTTGCTGGGAGCTATGATAATGCCACACCACTCTATCCAAGGCAAGAGAGTGAAACTTTGTCTTGAAACAAAACGAACCTCACTGGTTTTCTGCTGCTGCCAACAACTCTTATAAAACTCTACCTAAGGTATGTGAATTTAATCTTAAGGTGGTTTTGAACGTCTGCTTTGTGCGGCTATGAAGGAATACCCTAGGCTGTGTGATTTACAAAGAGAAGAGGATTATGTGGCTCATGATTCTGCAGACTGTAACAAGAAGCACTGCGCCAAAATCTGCTTCTGCTGAGAGCCTCCAGGGAATTTCTGAGCAAGGTAGAAGGTGAAGGGAAAGTAAGCTGTCACATGGTGAGAGCAGGAACAAGGAGGGAGGCGATGATGCCAGCCTCTTTTAAACCAGCTCTCATGTGAACTAGTAGTTTATGCAATACAGCAATAACTCACTCATTTCCTTAGGGAGGGCACCATGCCATTCATGGGAGATCTGTCTTCATGACCCAACACCTCCCACCAGGCCCCACCTCCAATAATGAGGATTAAATCTCAGTAAGAGCTTTGGAGTTGCCAATCCTACAAACCATATCAGTACCTTAGTTACTTTTCCCGAGGAGTTCGTTCTCTTACATTTTATTAACAAACTGGTGCTCACATAAAACTGGACCTAGTCACAATAAAGCTTGCCCGGAAAACATGCGGTTCACCCCTATACTGTTCGATATGGAAAGGACTACAAAGATACACTTTCACAAACTGACTAGGTATGTGAGTAGTGAGGCATGTGGCCTAGTTATTCTCACTGCTATGTCAAGATCTTCGGCTGATTCTCTCATTTGGGGGGGTCCCCAGCTCCAGAGCTCCCTGTACGGCCCAAGCCTCTGCTGCAGCTAACCTACTTTAGCCCATCTCCTCTGTTACCTACATGGGAAGATGGCTTTGCCCAACCCTCCATTCTCCAGGCCCTTGCAAGCCCTTACCTCCCTTGCCACTGCCCTACTGCCCACTTGACAGGAAGCTGCCAGCCAGCCACCAGGCAGGCCTAGCTACTGAAACCTGAAGATGCTCCTGCAATCTGTATAGCTCAGCCCACTGGGAAGACAGGAGCTGGGCTTTCTATGCAGTGAAATTACTTTATGCCAAGACCATGTGACTGAGAATAATTCCAATTCAATGACAAATATGTATGAGGAAGAAATTTCCTATGGTGATCCCTCCCCCAACTCCTTTCTGGTAAGGAAGCATCTTCCAAATCTTTTATATCCCAAAGGTTTTTTTTTTTTTTTCCCCCACTTCTTTTTTTTTTTTTTAATTAAATCATAGCTGTGTACA